AGGCGCGGTAGCGGACTCGCCGTCTCCAGTGATGGCACGGTTAGGTAAGCGCGGCTATAGCTTCTACTAACCCTAGCGGAGCTCTACGGTGCAGATCGAGCTACTATGGCGCGGCGGTGAGCTCCGGCCACGAGCATGGCACGGCGGCGCACAGCGCATGCGGCGACGCTTACCGTTTCGACGTGACGGTGGTGGGTGATGGGTCTCCATCATAGGAGAAGGTGCTAGGGTTCATGGTGGCTTAGAAATGAACACAGGAGGGGGAGGACGGGATCTAGCGAGGGCTAGCCACGACAAGCTTGAGTTCGTGGCCATGGCGGGCTCACGCGGTGCGGTCGTGCGTTCCCGCGCAGCGGCGGCGATAGCGGTTAAACCGGCTATGGTGTGAGCATCTACGACCTATGGTGACGATGAACCAACGGAGAAAAAGGTAGGAGGAGAGGTGTATAAGGCTGGCCACGATGAGCTCAGAGCTCGGCAATGCTCCATAGCCATGGCGGCGACGGCGATGCACAATGTGGCTTTACCTCGGCTCGGATGGTGGCACTGGCGGGTCGGGGAGGTAGAGGAGATGGTTGTGGAACTGTGGGCGTGATGGATTTGATGGCGGTGTTGCGGCTGTGGCGTGCGAGCGTGGTGGTGTGTGTGGCGGCGGCGACGAGCACGGCTCCGCTCGGCGAGCTAGCGAGAGTGAGAGAGTGAGAATGAGCAAGCGCAGCGGCTTTGCCTCTCTTTTCTCCCCCTGCTAGCCTGACCGGCCGGGCCGACGCTGGCATACGGCCAACACGTGGCGCGCTGTGGCCTAGCGCCGGTCGGCCACTGCTGCGCTGCTGCTGCTCGGTTTTAGGCCAACGATGGCCGACTGACGAAGCAACTTCAAGCACATGTAACTCCCAAACGAACTGGAGTTGGTGAAAAACCCCTTAATAAGAAATGTAGAGCTACATGTACTCTCCAACTTTGCTTTAGAAAGCTTCCTCTAATTCGCCATGGTTTTCAAGTTACAATGCCCCAAAGTTGGTCACTTGAAACTGTAAACATCTTTTTGGACTTAGCAAAAATTTCTAAGTCTAGAAACAACATTACATTGCTACTTTGGAGTTGTTTTTGATTGTGTTAGGCACTGAATTAGCTCATGGCCCTAAAACAAAGTTTGTTACCCATGTCAAGAAATACAACTTTTATTAAGGGTACACTGCCATACAAACACTCTATGCTATTGTTCAACTTTGGTCAAAGTAGTAACATGAAAATAGAAGTTTAGAGTAAACTAGGACTTAGAAGCACAATTTGGCCTATGTCATGAATACAAACATTGTTCCATTTACCATCCTAGATGTGTCTAAGGTATTTTTTGACCTCACAACTATTTCTCACATTGGTCACACATGATCACAAGCATATACATGTATATTATTCACATCACATGTGATAAAGAGAAGGTGAATGAAATGAAACTTCATATGCTCATGCTCATGAATGCTTGGATGATGCTTGTGCTCATAAAATGCAAGTGCCAAATGTATGCTTAACACTAGGGTGTTACAAAACTGAAAACCGAAAAACTGATATTTCGGTTCGGTTCGGCTCGATTCAGTTCGGTTTTTGATTTTCAGCTATAAAGTGCCCAGCCTGAGCGAGATGTGCGCGGGCGGGCTCCGCAAGGGCTGCCGTGAGCTGCACGTGGGCGAGCTCCACCCCGGCCGTGGCGAGCTGGGCAGGCGGAGCACGAGAAGTACGCGGTCAGCCTCCGCCCCGGCAGGTCACCGCGAACTGCCCCGAGTGGAACATTGCAAGGGTGGAGCGCTGCGAGCTGTGCGCTGGCCGAGCTCCACTGCAGTGTTTTTTTTGAGAAACTGCGGTGTCTGGAGAGTTGGATGAGTGGATAGGAGGGGATAGTTTGGGCCTACATCATGTCCCATGAACGTGAGCATCCGGATGTCCTGAGAATAGCATTACCGATAAAATAGAGCTTTAGTTTCTATAGGTGAAGTTTCTTCTATAGAAACTAGTTGTAAGAATTATTGGTTCGGACTGACCTTAGGGCTAGCTGAATCAATTTTTTACTCGCCGAACAGTGAAAAAAAAAACAAAGAGACTAGCACAGAGCCAATAGGCAGTCTTGCATGTTTCTAAGATGCCCCTTTCTCACACAACACAATATGCTTGTTGTTGCTTCTCTAGGTTTGCCAGCTTAGAGCTAGCTTATATTATTGTAGACTAGCTAGCCTATATTGGCGGAGATGCCCTTAGCGAGATAGAGATGTGCTGGTTTTGCTCCTGAATTGCTCTAGTTGTTTCCTTTTGTACATAAACTAGGAAATATGTCTGCTCATTGCTAATTTATTTGAATTTCAATTACTAACTTATGTAGCATAAATGTTAATTTTAGTGATATGCACAAGTCTAAGTGTCATATATTTAGAAATATTTATTTTTAAAGTAGTCCATGTGTTATTTCTACGATGAGGTTATTAAGCATTGGATTTTTAGAACATATTGCACATTTCAAATCACTAAGAGCATATCTAAGAGTTTGGTATAATTTACTTACAAAATTAATAGATCTACCAAGTTAACAGAAGAAATAACAATCTTAAATTTTGTCCTTCAACAGTCTCATATAATAGCTTTCTAAACAATTTTGCATTGGGAACCTCAAACTATTTTAACTAACCAAATCTTTTTTAATAGTTTCTTTATCTCTTACTGCTTTGTCATCTGAAATCCTTTATTTTCTTAATTTACGCATGCGTCCAATTTACTCCGTTCTCCCGAGAAAAACGTCGGATGGGGAGCGGATATGGAGTTCTTCTCGACTGCGGAAACTTACAAGTTTGAGAGGATATTTGGTAACTTTTTATTTTTAAGGAGCTCTTTTTACCAAACTACTATTAGATGACACTTTTTTTGCTAAAATATTGAAAAAGGGAGTTGTTTTATAAAACTCCCGGAGATGCTCTAAATAAGTTAGAATAACCAAACAACCTCTTTGGTCCGATAGGTCTGAGTTGCCATTCCAATCTGGTTGGCACGACCAGAGTCCCACGTTTGCATGCCATGCCTACATAGATTGTCGCCATAAGATCGTCCAATCACGCGATGCATATAGATTGTCAAGAGTCCAAGGTCTATGCCTCGCGTTTTGGCCTGGTCCATGACCTCGCATTTTGGCCTAGCCTAAGCACTGCACAACCTAATGGCAGTTGTGCCCATGCTAGTTCAGCCCGATGTACAGGCCGTGCCTGGGTCACTACCTCGTCACGTCACTCTAGCTAGGCTCCACACAATTAGTAGGAGGCCCACCAAGGTTCATCACAGCCACCTCCACCTCTCATATATATATGTGAACACACCAAAACCCTAACCGGCTATCTCCAATTTCCATCTCACCCAATAGACATCCGTTCACACGCCACACCGTGTTCCCTCTCAAACACTGTGCTTTCCCTTCCACCGTGCCTTCCTTCTTCAACGGAAGCTCTCCTCCATGCTCTGGTCCAATATCGGCTCCCCTCCCCTCCCCCTTCTCCACTAGCACGGGCGACAATGGCGCATTGGTAGGGGCTGGGGCGCGGTGGGATCAATGAGCCCTCAGCCCATCCCGACACAGCTAAGCCAGTGTAGACCCGGTCCTGGGCCAAAGCCACACCCATAGGCAGGCATGACATGACACATTGAGCAAATAGGGCCGTGCCAGCCCGACTCTAATCGGGTTGTGCCTTAATGGGCCCATGCCGTGCCTGGGGGTCGTCCATTTGGATATATATCTTGTATAACCAAAAAGATCCAAAGTTATATATCAACTCATGCATTCAAAGATAGGTTTGGACACCGCCCACTAATTTGGCATTGTGGAACCCCATTTGCATGGATGTAAGAGTGCGTCTGGTAGGGCTCTAAATTCTTGTTGAAATGTTTCGGATCCAGATTCTCCCTTAAAACGTTTCAGGTAATGAATCGGAATCATTTAGTGAAACCATTTGGCTGGTATACTTGATAAATCACTTCTAAACCGCCAGGTGATGAATTTGGCGAAACCAGCCTTTGTCCGACTCATGTTTCTAGGCAAGAAACTAGAAACGTTTCTACGCTGAAAAGTTTCCTGCTTTCACCGGTTAGAAGTGGCTAGCTGAGAATCTGGAACATTTCAGCTTGCCGAACTAACGCACTATCAGCACCTACTTCCAACTGATTTGGCGGTATATTAGTGCTAGCCCAAGTCAAATGTATCAGCTGTTTTAGCAAATCCAAGCCGCCTGCTTTGCCAACCGGGCCCACTTATATAGTTATATAGCAAACAAAAAGGCAGAGAACGGTTTACATGAGATGGTTCGCAATTCGTGTGTTCTTCTTGTTCCCTGTTGAAATTTCCTGCATCATCATTCATCAACAGCCGGTTGTTGGGAACCGCAGCCGCTGAAACAACCACATCCGAGGTAGACAGCTCCAACAAAGTATATACTGCATGTGGATGATTGAATTCCGTAAGCTGTCTGTGTCCTGCACCTGTACAGGAATCCTATGTTATATAGCAAACATAAAAAGAACGGTTTACATCAGATGGTTCGCAATTCGTGTGTTCTTCTTGTTCCATGTTGCAATTTCCTGCAAATGTTTCGTCGCCTCCTCAACAGCCGGTTGTTGGCAACCGCAGCCGCTGAAACAATCACATCCGCGGTAGACAGCTCCAAACTATACACTGTATGTGGATGACTGAATTCGGTAAGCTGTCTGTGTCCTGCACCTGTACAGCAAGTCAGCAATATGCCATTGCCATGTAGGGCAGTTAGAGTTTGGAGCCCCTGCAGCATCCAGGTCTGCACCTGTACATCGATGCCATTGCCATGTACAGACAAAAAGGAGTCAACCCATCCTGCAGCTGCATCTGTATGCCCAAGTCAACATGGCTGCTACTCCTACGTACTATAAGTGGGAGACAAGATAACAGCAAGTGCAGGACGACGACAACGAGTAGTAGGAGGGAGGGCGGTGCGCGCATGCGGATTGTGATGGATCATCAAGACGCCGGCGATGGCGAGGAGCGCCAGCAGCAGCTGGATGATCGTGACGATGAGCAAGACCATGTGCTGTCGTCGCCACCGGAAGAGGATGGAAACCAAGAGCCGCTGGAGATCGACAAGGAATCAGTTGTGCAGCAGCTGCAGGTACCGTTACCGCCGCCGTCGTCGTGTCGGGCTGCGGCGGCCAGCTTCAGGGAGAGCCTGTCCCGCTCCCTCTCCTTCTCCCTCAACGAGCAGGAGAAGGACGACGAGGTTGAGCTGAGATGGGCGGCCGTCGAGAGGCTGCCCACCCTGGACAGGCTCCACACCTCGCTGCAGCAGCTCCATGCAGCGGCGGACAAGGACCAGGACCAGCTGAAGGCTCCTCCTGCGCCATGGCAGGCGGTGGACGTGCGCACGCTGGGTGCGGCGGAGCGGCGCACGGTGGTGGACACCCTCATCGCCAATATCCACCGGGACAACCTCCGCCTGCTCCGCAAGCAGCGGCAGAGGATGGACCGCGTCGGCGTCCGCCTGCCCACGGTGGAGGTGCGCTGGCGCGACGTCCAAGTCGAGGCCGAGTGCCAGGTGGTGCACGGGAAGCCGCTGCCCACCCTCTGGAACGCCGTCGTCTCCAGCCTCTCTGTACGTGTTCTTTCCATCGGCGCCCGGCCGGCCCAGCTCACTCCTTTCTCTCTGTTCTGCGGCGTCCATTACGTCGTCCATTGATTCCATGCATCAGGTGGTGAGCACCATGCTGGGCCTCAACCGCCAGCAAGAGGCCAGGGTGCGCATCCTCCACGGCGTCAGCGGCGTCGTCAAGCCGTCCAGGCTGACGCTCCTCCTGGGACCCCCTGGCTGCGGCAAGTCCACACTCCTCAAGGCGCTCGCAGGGAAGCTCAACGCCACCAGTCTCAAGGTGACAGGAGAGATAGAGTACAATGGCGTGGAGCTGAGTGGCTTCGTTCCGGAGAAGACGGCGGCTTACATCGACCAATACGACCTTCATGTCCCTGAGATGACTGTCAGAGAGACCATCGACTTCTCTGCAAGATTCCAGGGCGTTGGCAACAGAGCAGGTAATGTCTCCAGATCAAATTATTAACTGGTGAGCACCACTCACTCTCACTACCATTGTATCTTATTTTCTCAGAGATCATGAAGGAGGTGATTAGAAGGGAGAAGGAGGCCGGCATTACCCCTGACCCTGACGTCGACACTTACATGAAGGTAAACCACCACTAGTAGTTTATCAATTATATATCATGCATGTTTTTCCAATGCAAGTGTCCACATCATTTTTATATAGTTTACTTATCAGTACAGTCCTCTCTTTTTTCATTGTCTAACTATAACCAGCAAATTATGCATGCATGTGCACAGATTCTACTCCAATTCTAACGGGCATTATTGTATCTTAATTTCATAGGCGATATCTGTGGAAGGTTTAGAAAGGAGCATGCAAACAGACTACATTATGAAGGTACTGCTATAGACGTACAGTACAATTGTCGCCTGAGGACACATGCATGCTCTTGGTGTTGGTGGCCCACCGTATATATGAATAAGCTCTTCCTCGATTGACAGATTATGGGACTTGACATATGTGCTGACATAATGGTGGGAGATGCAATGAGAAGAGGTATTTCAGGCGGTGAGAAGAAGAGACTTACCACAGGTGATTCCACGACTCAAATTATTTGAGGGCGTCCCAACTACAATTATGTAGGGATTGAATTTATTCTTCTTGAGTTCGAGGGATCCCCCATATGCATTGCAAACAGGACATAGAAGTTTTAAGCGCCCTCTAGAAACGTAGGAGGTTCACAGGAATTGTATATCTAAATTTTATATGAATTAGTTCAATTTCACATGAAAAATGTAGGATTTAACACCGCGTGGGGGGCAGGGGACTTACCAGCCTTCTGGACATGGATATCGTGCTTTTGAGACCCTCCAGTATCTAATATATCGGTTCTAGGTTTGATGTATGTGCATATCACGTTTGTGGCAAGTTCCCTCTTATTCATTGTGGGACTAGGGAGGATTCCAAAAAGGACTTAGGGTTGCTGCTAGTACGGCAGTACTTAACTAATAGAGTAGACACTGTTTTGGTGGACTTATTACTTGCGTACCAAGTTAGCATGTCGGTTTGCCAAAATCACATTTCAACATTATCTATATTATTATATAATCCTGAGAGCATTTCCAATAGATTACTTATCTCATCCCAATACTAAAAAACAACTAGATTACTTATCCTCTCCCCAATATAAAAAACACTTAAGTAATTACCAAAAACCACAGCCATCGATCGTTGTTCTTGCCACGTGGACTTTTCCGACAAGCCGGTGCCATTAATTGTTTTGCCATGGAGGACAACTACACATGAGTCATTCACCATTGCCCATCAATCGAGCGCCACAAACACGAATCATGCACTGGCGGTAGCCAATGTTGCCTACAGACTCAATCACGGGGCGGGTGGTGGATCCGTGCATGACGGAGCGCGACACCAGCAACCAACCTGCTTCCCCACGCTCGGGGCTCAGCGACAAACCCGCTTCCCCATGCCGGCGACCAACCTGTTCCCTTGCATATCTAGTCATAGGGGAGTTCGAAGCTGGCGGATCCAGTTATATGGGGGAGCTCGAAGCGCGTGATGACAACCTCGAGGAGCAGGAGCAGCTTTTGCTTCGCAACAAAGGCACGAGACGAAGCAACCGGTGCAGTCGTTGTCGTGCCTGGCATTCTCGGCGCCACTGGAGCTGGGGAACCAAGAGAGATGGTAGAGACTAGAGGGCAGTGGAATGGCGTCGGGCCTCGGGAGCAAGCAAGGGAGAGGAAACGATGATTTTGGAAGTAGACACATAAATGACACGTGGGTCTGAGATGTCAGGGCAGATATAGGGTACCGGGTTTTGGTAGTCTGTTGGATGTGGGAAAGAAAAAACTACATTACTAATAATGAGAGAGAACCTATATTCAGTTTTAGGGGATGGAGGATAAGTAATCTGTTGGAGATGCTCCGACGTCAGTAACTAAATTTAGTTGACTCAATTGAGGATGCTTGTTCCATTACTGAAGATTCTGTCTTACAGGAGAAATGATAGTAGGACCCTCAAAAGCACTCTTCATGGATGAAATATCAACTGGGTTGGATAGCTCCACAACATTTCAAATTATTTCTTGCCTCCAACAGTTGGCTCATATCTCAGAGTCTACCATACTAGTCTCACTTCTTCAACCAGCACCAGAGACGTATGAGCTTTTTGATGATATTATCTTGATGGCTGAAGGAAAAACTGTATACCATGGATCTAAGAGTTGCATTATGAGTTTCTTTGAATCATGTGGATTCAAGTGCCCTGATAGGAAAGGCTTTGCTGACTTTCTCCAAGAGGTAAATATACAAAATTGGTTATGTAAAAACAAGTAGCATCATAATTAGCAGTTTCTATTACATTTCCTATAGCATTGCTTGTTCATAACACTTGTTGGGGGCATGGCATAATGCATTTAACAAAAAATATGTCTCCCACTAGAACAAACGAGAGTATATGGAATATGTATCTTTGTCTCTCTACATCCTACAAGGGAGAGTTGTGTCTTGACCATTGACCTTCAACACCAGAATCCCGTCCTCTATCATTTGGTTTACAAGATTGGCCATATACTGACAGTCTTCATTGAGAAAACAATCCGAATATCTATAGCTTTTTCAAACTCTAACAGAATCATCCTGTTTATGCAGTAATGCAAAAGGCCAACCTTGCATGCCAAACTTTATCTACTTTCATTTTTTGCAATATGCAGAATAGCTAAACTAGACATTTAGGTTGACACAGTGTTCTTAATAACTACTATTTATGTGGGCATATGTCTCAAGTTTCACTGTTTGTGTAACGTACAAAGGAGTAATATCTATAGTTTGTGAACTGTCATGAAAAATTGTAAAAAATGTACATATGAAGCAATAATCAAGTATAGATTAAACTATATATTAGGGTAACAGATTAACTTCGTTAGAAGCTAGGAATTCTTATATATTCTTCCATACTTATATATAGGTCTTATCGGAAAAGGATCAACAACAATATTGGAGCCGCGGTGGAGAATCATACAATTTTGTTACCATTGACCAGTTCTGTGACAAGTTCAAAGTGTCTCAAATTGGCCAGAACCTTGCTGGGGAGATTTCAAAGCCTTATGACAAATCAAAAGGGCATAAAAATGCCTTGTCCTGTAGTATCTACTCGTTATCCAAGTGGGAACTCCTCAAAGCATGTTTCGCAAGGGAGCGTCTCCTCATGAAACGAAATGCCTTCATCTACATAGCAAAAATTGTTCAGGTAAGCCACATAGAAATGATATTTTGTAGAAAACATTGTCGATAAATACAAATTGTTGAACATACAGATTTAGTATTATTAAACAAATATAAAGACCAATCACCTAATTTTGTAGTTCCACATGATTCACATGGAACTAAATATTGATGATCATAAGAAAATTACACATATTATTCGTAGCTTTGGCTATAGGGAGAAATGTATGGGATGTACACACACACACACACACACACACACACACACACACACACACACACACACACACACACACACACACACACACACACACACACACACACACACACACACACACACATCCTACTCAATTTGATAGTTAAGAATTTTCATTACATGTGCTTATATGAACTACTTAACTACACTTTTATGGTGTAAAGCATGTCTTACAGTTGACATGAACTAAGGTATGATTTTACATTTTCTTAGTGCGCCCACTAGCAATTAATAGTTCACTATTACTGCAGATTGCACTACTTGCTGCTATTACTGGGACGGTATTTTTGAACACGCATATGGGTGTTGATAGAGTTCTTGCTAACTATTACATGGGTTCACTATTCTTTGCACTGATCCTGCTGATGGTGAATGGATTCCCTGAGCTTTCTATGGTAGTTAGCAGACTTCCAGTCTTCTACAAACAAAGAGACTACTACTTCTATCCTGCATGGGCTTATGCAGTACCGGCTTTTATCCTAAAGGTTCCAATCTCTTTAGTTGAGTCAATAGCTTGGACATCACTATCTTACTTCCTCATTGGCTATACTCCCGAGGCATCCAGGTAGGAATTACAATTTTGTTATGACTAATTTAATCACATAATTTTTCTGTTATCAACTTTGGTAATAATGCTTGTGTGTCAACATTTTATCTGCATAAGCTTCTCTAATAAAGAGGTAAATCATGCATCTCATGGTTTTTTGTGACTATCATGCATCTCATGTGTGTACATATTTATGCGCATTTCCCCTAGTCTAGCCAAAAGAAGCATTGGGTAGATTCTTTAACTAACTTTTCAGTGACCCCTGTTGAGGTCAATTATATATAAGTTCTTTAGGCCTTATTTAGCTCTAGGTTTCTAAGATTCAGTTACTAAGTTTGCTAAAAAAAATTAAGAGATTCATTTATAGATCTGTAAGTTCTGACACACTCCATTTGTGTCCGTAGATTCTTACATCACCTTCTTATCCTCTTCCTAATCCACACTGGAGCGTTGTCGATGTTTAGATGTGTCGCCTCTTACTGCCAAACAATGGTGACCGGTGTAGTGGGTGGTACAGTGGCACTTCTACTCATCCTTCTATTTGGGGGTTTCCTCATTCCTCATCGTAAGACATTCCCATGTTTTCATGAATTTGTACTTCAAGCAAGATATTGGCCTACAACTATTGAACACAAACTGCTAACACATTTTTGTGTCAAATTGCTACAGCATCCATGCCTAATTGGCTGAAATGGGGATTTTGGCTTTCACCATTATCATACGCTGAGATAGGTTTAACTGAAAACGAGTTCTTAGCACCAAGATGGATAAAGGTAAACTTTGACATAAAGAATTTGTACCACCAATTGTGCACTCCATAAGAAAATCATTCCCCTTGTTCCTTGGAAGCATGCCATATTTTCTTATACAATATTTGTGTTTTTTTACTTCAGTTTACTACCTTGTTAGCAGAACTTGCAAGCGAGGTATACACATGGAATTAGTAGATTGATTATCAGAGTACATGGTGCATGTTTATGTATGAAAGGATATTCTAGGGCTGGCTTAAAGAATTAGAACCAACCACAAAGATCCTTGCCTATCTCAAATAAGTCTACACTTCCCAAAGGTGTGCATGGAACTCTAGCTAGGTCCACGATAGCACAAGCGATGTATGCTCGACTCTAAGTCCATGGCTTTAGTGAAGATATCAGGGTGCTGTGGAGAAGGCATCCCTTTAGTAAAAATATCAGGGTGTTATGATAAAGTAGGAACACGTGGAATACATGAACAAGCAGACAAAGAGCAACTCTCTCATGAACAAAATGAAGATCAAACTCCATAGTCTTGTTGTGCTAACATTGAATGGGGTTGGAGGACATGTAGACAATGCTGATGTTGTCATAGTATACCAACTTAGCTCAACAAAGAGGAGAGCAGAGATCAAGGAGTAGCTGATGTGTAGCCAAGTAGATTTGGTGATTGGAGTGGCCAAAGCATGATATTCTACCTCGACACTAGAGCAAGACATATTACCTTGATATTTGGATCACCAAGAGATAAGGTTGCATGCCATCAAGAAACACAACATAGCTCGAGGTGGGCTTGTGTACCAAACTCAAAGGGTCAACATCACTATAGAGTTACAAAGACTTCAAGTGTCCCAGCGCACCAAGATTACAAGGGCACAAAGCCCAACTTACTCTAGGTCGTCTCAAGATAAAGCCTAAGGACTCGCTAATCAAGCTCTAAGCAAGATTATAAGATTTGGATATTAACACAAAGCTCCCATATGGGGTTGGAGTGTATCTATAGCTTCTCTTGTCTCCAACAACCTTCAAATAGCCAATAGAAGCCACCCAAGTATATATATAGCTCCTCATGGCTTGGATGACTAAGACGACGGTGCCAGAGCGAGGTGGATGTGTTGGTGGGTTGGGCGCACAGTGAAGACACAAAGGCCGATGAACACTAGGGGTATAATGGTCTGTTGATATTGCACCTAACGACTAGTTTTTGCATTTGAAGATCTTTCATTGAGCAACCAGTGGGCTCAATAAATTTAGTAGAATGATTGCTGTTAGTGGTAAATTGGCAAACATTTATAAGATTCTTAATCCTTAGGGAAGAACATTATTTATAGGAAAGAACAAAACAAGTCGGTTGGTAGTAGAAGTGACAGGAAGCAAAGAGACCCATTGTTGGCAACATTAGATGAAGAAAAATGACACCACCATAGAAAAGAAGAGCATGGAAGGATACAAACGTCAAAGGCCACGTGGGAGGTGGCATTTTAATCAAAGTAACACTTGTTTTGCTAGGCCAGCGTCAGTGCTATGGTGTTGAAGTTGGATGCAAGGGAATGTTGGTCTCATGAAGAGACACCAGCTATGGGGTTGTGGAACACTGGAGGGGTGGCGTGCAATGTTTAGGAGCACTAACTAGAAACGCTTGCTACAGTTGTAGTGATGTGGACTAGTTGCATGGGGTGAAGGGATATGAGCAAGGGATGGCCAAGGGATGGCCAAGGACCAGGACACATCTAAATGGACTCGGTCCATGGTTTATAGATTGATGGATAGGGAGAGAGAGAGACTTGATTACCAATGAATTAATGTTCAAGGTGTCGGATTAGTTAGCTCCGGCAATGCCTAGCAACAAGATCGCGTAGACGGATTTAGATGGTAGCACATGAGACACAAGGATTTATACTGGTGCGCTAAACCCTGCTCTAGTGGTGCGACTGCTCTTGTGTTTGTATACTCAATTACAGGGGCTGTTACTCCTAGCTACGTAGTAAATTGGAATGATGGGAGAAGATCCCGAGCCCGAGGTCCCTACCCTCCTTTGTATAGGTAGAGGGGGTAGGGTTACAGAGAGGGCGATCTGGCTAATAGATTGGATTCCTAGTTTCTTACACAGAATGCGCAACAGATTGATCCTAGCTATCGTCCAGATACGCCTGCCTTGGCTTGCCTTGATCTCCACGTTGGTCGACCGTGTCAACCCTTGCGGGACTCCTTAGCGATTGCTGGGCCGATAGCTTGGCGATGGTCATATATACGGGTGGTGCGGGTCCCCTGGCCCATATACCTGACACAAGGGCAAGCTAGAAAACATGTGTATGGTGTGGTTATGCCCATCACTGTCTTGAAGAAGTCCCTAGAGATAGTGGCATAGATCCACTACTAGTTAATACAATCCATGCAGACTCGATCCAGGACGGTCAAGTAGGGATGATCATTGAGAATGTGGCTCTAGAGGGAGAAATTCATGAGCATGATGAAGAAGTGGCCACACCACATGGTGTAGTTTCTAGTTGCTAGATCGAAGATATGAAGAACAAGGGTCCTGAACACACGTTTAGGGTAATAATAGCCAGAGCATGATAATTGACAATCGTCGTTGCTTTGTGAAGTAGCACAGTGTCCTGATGGGAACATAATGACTTGGCTTCTTTGTCATCATAGGGTAGACCAATTGTGCCAGCGCGCTCACAAGCCACGTGCTCAAGGGTGGCACACATGCGGGCATCAACAATTTGTGTTCCTGGGTAGTGCGTTTGCCTCTGTCTAGTAGCTTTAGCGCGAGCAAGAGCAGCGTTGCTGATAGCTTTCGAGCACTCCTCCTAGACATCACAATCAGGTCAAATTGGTGAGTTTCCTCTGCAGCCATGCATTCTTGCTCGAGTGTTGCCTCTTCAGTCACATTATTATTATTATTGAGAGCAACTGCAGTGGCACTAGGGGAGATTGGAGACGTGGTGGAAGTAGGGTTGCTGGCCATGGAGATGGTGGCAATGGCTAGGGTTTAGGTGAAGGTGTGTGATTGAGGATAAACTAGCCTGAAACCATGGAGTAAGGTATACACACATAATTTGTTTATATAGGCAAGGATATCCTAGGGTTAGCTTATAGAATCTGAACCAATTATAGAGATCATTGCCTATCTCAATTCAGTCTACAGATGTGCGCCAAACTCTAGGTCCATGACAACACAAGTTGTGTATGTCAAAGAACTAAAGGCCTAATTTTTTAAGTCATATTTGTAAAGTTGTAAATCAAATTTATTTTGCCTTTTAATGGATTCCTGTTGTCACAATGCAAAATATATAACAAAAAATGTAATATGCAATTTTTCATCACTGAGATAGTACTAAACTTTTTTCCTATGTTGATAGTTCACAGTATCTGGTGTGACACTTGGAAGGAGGATATTAATGGACAGAGGGTTGAACTTCTCTAGCTACTTCTATTGGATTTCAATTGGAGCATTGATTGGGTTTATTTTGTTATTTAGTATAGGTTTTGCTGCTGGCTTGACTATTAAAAAGTGTAAGTGCACTATTATTTAAATTTTCTTTGAATTCAAAATTTGGACTACTTTTAATTCTCAAATATATTTTGATTTGAATTTTAAAGTTGATGAAAGCTTATGCTGAATAGTTCAAACATACAATGCATAATTGTTCTAACCTCCCATGTACCTCATTCTCAGCTCCAGGAACTTCTAGGGCTATTATTTCTCATGATAAGATTACCAAATTTAATAGAAGAGACCAGTGTACATTTATGGACACTAAAGATGGGATAGATAAGCCACAAGAAAATTCTTCTACTCCTAGCAGGACTGGTTAGCCTCAATTCTACAGTGTGGAACCAAGTATAGTTCAGAGTGTTAGTGAAATGGAACTCACTTTCGATAATCGATTACATTGCAGGAAGGGTGGTGTTACCTTTTTTGCCCCTTACAATATCATTTCAGGATGTGAACTACTATGTCGACACACCTGCGGTAATTATCATACTCTAAAAAGTCAAGATAGTTGCTAGTGAAAGAAAGCCATGCTTGATGGACCATCACATGGGCATGGCAGGCACGTGTGCTTCCTAGTGAAGTAAACAAAGGAAAAAAATTACTAGCAGAAAGTAATTAGGAACATTTATTGACCAATAAAAAATGTTTATTGTTGTAGGAAATGAGGGAGCAAGGCTACATGGAGAGAAAACTTCAACTACTCCACAACATCACAGGAGCCTTCCAGCCAGGAGTCCTTTCAGCACTCATGGGGGTCACTGGGGCAGGGAAAACAACCTTGCTTGATGTTCTTGCTGGGAGGAAAACTGGTGGTATTATTGAAGGAGATATAAGAGTAGGAGGCTATCCTAAAGTTCAAAAAACTTTTGCTAGGATATCAGGTTACTGTGAACAAACTGATATTCACTCCTCACAAATCACAGTGGGTGAGTCTGTTGCATATTCAGCCTGGTTGCGTCTTCCAATAGAAATTGACTCCAAAACACGAGATGTGAGTTATAATTGATGATATGGCATAAATAAATGGTTCTTTTACTTCATAGTTGTACCTTAGGTACATCAAAATTACAAATAACTACAAGGTAACTGCTATTCTTTCCCCTTGCAGGAATTTGTCAATCAAGTTCTTGAAATAGTTGAGTTGGACAAAATAAGAGATGCTTTGGTTGGAATACCTGGGATAAATGGACTATCTATAGAGCAACGGAAGCGTCTCACAATTGCAGTTGAGCTTGTATCCAACCCTTCAATCATATTCATGGATGAGCCAACATCAGGCTTGGATGCAAGGGCAGCGGCTATTGTCATGCGTGCAGTGAAGAACGTTGCAGACACAGGTCGAACAGTTGTGTGCACTATTCACCAACCAAGCATCGAAATATTTGAGGCATTTGATGAGGTAATAATACCATTTGTGCATCCTCTAATTCGTCAACCATAAAAAGGAGGTAAATACAAAATAATAGGAAGAATACCTTCTATAGTTCTGTTTTCCAAGAACAAGATAAAGTTCAAGTTATACCGTACTTGAGTAGTATGAAGCACTAGAGGAGCTAGCTGAAAATTCATGCGAACTCAGATGTAATGCCAAACAATTCAGTCACTAGAAACTAAAACTTATCCATATATTAATCGTCTACCTAAAGGACAAAAAACTACATTCAATACAAAACCTTCTTCAACCTTCTGATGGTCTAATTGTTTGAGATGTTGAGAGTACAATTAACCCTATTATTTGCAAAGAAAAAATGTTCTTTCATCTAATTTATTGATATGGTTTCTTTTAAATAATATCATATATTGCTAATTATTATGTAAAATTCATACATAGCTGATGCTGATGAAGAGGGGTGGACAATTGATCTATGCTGGGCCGCTTGGACACCATTCGTGTATGCTCATCCAATATTTCCAGGTAACTAAAAGAAAGTTCAATTTTTGTGTATACACATATAGTTTATATTGTGATTTAAATCAATGTAAGTCGTCTTACATTGCAAGCAAAATAGACTTCACAATGGTTTCCATTTGTTTTGAATATTTTCAATAATTATAACATGATGTGTTTTTGACTTCTAGAGTGCCCATGATTTCCATTGTACATAGCACATGGAATAGACTTGCTATATTTCATGAAAGAGTAAAGTACACAAACTATCTATATCCCTAAACTTTGAAAGTTGTGGTTTCAAACCCCCTAAGCTTTTTAAGTGGTTGATCTGAGGTCCAAAACCTTCTACTCGATCAACAACTACTCTCTCACTTTTCATGATTGATCTAGTGGCATTGCATGCGCCAAGTTCAAGAATCACCGGTATAATTTACTCATCGTGAAAATGCATTTAGTTTTAGTGAAGACAACAATGACCTATACTTTATCCTCGAGTAGAGTGTGTTCTATAGGCTAACATACTTGTGAAAGTATTCCCTCTATTTCTTTCTAGGCAATACCTGGGGTACCCAAGATAAAGGACAACTACAACCCATCAACATGGATGCTAGAAGTTACCACAACATCTTTGGAAGCTCAACTAGGAGTCGATTTCGCACAAGTTTACAGGGACTCATCAATGTACAAGTAAGCTTTGAAAAATCATCAAAATTAGTTATAAACCATGCGTATGACACTAACAAACATTTTAATACAATCATTACAAAATACAATATGTAAAATAAGTTTAGAGGCATTGTGTATCCACAATACTTATGAAAATAAATTTCATAGATCATAAAAGCAATTTGATTAGGAAGGAATTCTCTCTTATCTGTTATGAATTAAATTTTGCATAACATCTATGCTAATAATAAGCTTTTGGGATTGAAGGGATAAAGAAGAAATCGTAAGACACTTGAGCATACCACCTGTGGGTACAAGCAACCTCCATTTCCCGACATGGTATCCACAAAATTTTTGGGAGCAGTTCAAAGCTTGCATTTGGAAGCAATGTTTATCATACTGGAGAACCCCTTCCAACAACTTGGTGCGGATTGTGTTCATATCTTTTGTCTCCATTGCCTTCGGGGCATTATACTGGCAGCAAGGCAACATAAATCGTATGTATGTAAACCATCATTTTGACCAATATGACACCACATATCTCTTAGTTATATTTTTCTTAATTAATTTATTGTTAATTAAACTTTTTTGGGGGTAGAAATGACGAGCAAGGTCTATTCAATATATTGGGGTGCATGTTTGGCACCGCTATATTTGCTGGCATCAACAACTGTCAATTGGTGATGCCATTCATCTCCATTGAGCGATCTGTCGTCTATAGAGAAAGGTTTGCAGGAATGTACTCTCCTTGGGCTTATTCCTTTGCACAGGTAAATATAGACTTGATGCAAACTACTTACATAAGGAGGCTTATAAATTAGTTTGTTCTGGAGCTCGTAGCAATAATGTTTCGATATGGAGTTAGTATTAATTAATATTTGAAGACTTTAACTTTATTTTATGTTTTTCCCAAGTAGGTCATTATGGAGATTCCTTATGTTCTTGTGCAAATAGTGTTGTTCACGTTGATAGCTTACCCAATGATAGGGTATGCATGGGAAGCAGCAAAGTTCTTCTGGTTTTTATATACCATGTTCTGTACACTGCTCTACTTCCTATATTTTGGAATGATGATTGTTTCACTCACCCCAAACATCCAAGTGGCGTCCATATTAACATCTCTATTCTACACCATGCAATGCCTCATGTCTGGCTTCATTGTGCCTGGTCTAGTAAGTCCTTCCACTCACTTAATGGCGTAGTTTGCTCTATTTCGTTTGTCGATGTTTGTGATTTTTTCATTCAATGTATCATTGAGCTTGTTTCCAAGGGAAATATGCTAGTGAATTAAAGGAGTGGCAAATTTTCCACTTCTTGGTTTCATGTTAGCTTTAGTCAAGGATTTAGTAAAGCTACATATATGCATTAGTGAAGAAACAAAACTAATCTTAGATGAATAATAGACTGAAGGAAAGTATTTTATGCATATAGATACTACTAAGGTTGCATTGATGCTGGGTAATTTATACTAGCTTTTTGGTGCATTTGTTGCAGCAAATACCAAAATGGTGGCTATGGTTGTACTACATGTCTCCCATGTCATGGACACTCAATTTATTCTTCACCACCCAGTTTGGGTATGAGGACCACAAGAAGATTGGGGTATTCGGGGAGACCAAATCTGTTGCAGCATTTCTTAGAGACTATTTTGGTTTCCGACGTGAATTGCTACCCCTAACAGCTATAGTTCTGGTGGCCTTCCCCGTCTTCTTTGCCACTCTATTTGGTTACGGCATTTCAAAATTTAACTTCCAAAGGAGATAAATCAGTAAATAATCAAAAGCAAAGTTTATTTGCATAGTGTATCATAAAGGTCAGTCTTGTGCACATTAGATATGTGCTGTAGTGTTAATGATTAGCTTGTGTTTGGAACAAGTAGTTGAGTAGCATGCAAAGCATCCAGAATGGAATGTATTATGTGGAACACCTAAAATACAAACTGTATTGCTCTTATTTAATTGCTCAAAATATACATATGTTTGTTTCTGCTGTTGTGCTGGACAGGACTATTATTTTTCATAGAAAGCTGAATGGACTTTACTAGTTTCCAAGTAATGCTTGTGAACTATAATATTTAACGTTTGGTATAATGGACGAATGTGTTCAATGTAGTTTTTAAGCATCATTTAGTAGGACAAAATGTTAAGTTACAATACTAAACAACAAATTGAAGTGCACTATATGTGCATCAATTTAGAAAACTATACTACTTATTTAGTTTGGTTCCTGTTCATCCAAAGAGGTACAATTTTAGATAAATCTTACTTATAGAGTGTGGCACTTGTAACTTGTTTCCCACCACTTCTCTAGGTAAAAGGGGACTTAGGTATTCACATTTTCATTCCATGACTCCTATTTCTTCAATAACTAAATGACAGAAGATCACTTAGATAGAAGGTTCATCTCTGAGGGTGCTAGTTATATCAAATTTTGACCTTGAGAGCTCAGCTTTGAGGTACAGGATTCCACGCCTTAAGACCAAGCCCTTTAGCTTTGGCTTGTTGGTGAACCATGTTTGTCTTGGCCAGGCGTCGGCCTCGTTCTAGGATTGCTTCAAGCAAGAAAACCGAGGTAGGTTCTCTTAGTGGAATATAGTCTTCAAACTAGACCTCTTGGCGAGGCTCTACAATAGATAACAACAAGTTAGCTATTTGAGATGATTAAAACCTTGACCCTCTATTTAGAAGGAAAACTAACATGATGGATGATTCATTGTAAAATACTGCCCAAGGTAATGGGAGCTATCAAATGAGTACTAGTGGATCATAATCCATAACAAGAAAATGAAAGCAGCAACTTCGTCATGGGATTTATAAAATGCTAGCATGTTGGATAGAACCAATTCTACGCTTCATGTGAGCACAAGCTTAGTCAAAGAATAGAAGGATTCATCAATAATCTCCTAAGGCACAATAGATTACATAAACCAAACGTGCAACCCAATCTACCTAATAAACACATCTGAAATCCTCAAGTTGTTCTTATTGCTCAATACGCTCGTTGCATGCTATAAAGTAGTTTTTGGAGTCTTTTTGATGATCGTCTTCCTGGTTCCCATAATACTATTACATTCCTGGCCACATGCTCGTTTATCCATGGATGAAGTAAATGTTATACTAAATGCTAAAAGATAAAAAGTTGGCCACATGCTATTTAGCCATTATTCGGACAAACAGCCACATAAGCAGGCAAAACAACTTTTTAAACGGGATAAACGTCCGATTAAACAGAAATGTCATACCACTGTGTAGCATTTTATACGATGTGTAACAGTAAACATTGGTGCATAGTATTAGAGATATGTATAGTCTAACACATGTATATCATGTGACATGTACTCCAAGTTGTACTCTGACAATATATGAAAGTCAGCCCTATATTGAGGGTGAGTTGTTCTCTAATTCTCTACGTGGTATCAAGAGATCGGGCCCTCTTCCGGCTCCTTCCTCTACCCTAGCTGTTGTCCTGCGCCATCTCCTCCTTGGTCGTGTGGCCACCCCATCTTGCGATGCCCCTACGAGCGATCTTCGCTCCCTCCGATCAGGATCCCTCTCCTGATTGCCCGCCTCCGCGTGATCCTACATGCCACCTTGCCCATCGTGCAACCACGATCACGGCCTCCCCCTCCTTGCATGCGACTTCTTCTTCCTACCACTTGCCCCCATGCGTCTGCTCACGCAATCCTGCATCCCGCTCACTTTTGCACGATCTTTCGCGCCTCATGTGCTCGCTCGTGCAACCCCATGCACACTGCCCACTTGCAGCTAACCTCTGACTGATCCCTACCTAAACCTGTCTTCCTTCTTCTTGCATCAAAGAATTTGCATATTTTAGAAAAGAGAAAATTCCAACATATGTACTCCTTTTAAATATGTATGATTTCTAATTACTTCTGCCAGAGCATACACAATGAGAATGCAACATATATAGATAACAAAGGTTCAACCTATGTACGGTTTGTTGTCCGGTGCACACTTGACATGTCAGGTGCGTGTGCAGAAGCTGCAACTTTTGGGCAATGACTAGTTTGCTTGTGGGCTTATAAATAGAGTGTGTGGCTGGGTGTTTGAGGGTGGTGTGGTGTTTGTGAACCCTCCCACACATATGAGAGCCAAAACTAACTACTCCACACACTTGCATAGTTGAGATTGCGATTCAATGTGAGATTGAAGTGACCTAGTTCTTGTGCTTCAGAGAGAGAGCATCTAGTGCACTAGGGGCTAGTTAGCAAGCTTGAGGGCTTGTTACTCTTTAAGGTTGCCACCTCATACATGACTTGGAGGCTTGAGGGATCCATTATAGCATAGGGAATGTATTCTTCTTTCGAAGAATTGGCCATTATCCCCGGGGATGATTGA